GAGTGGTCGGGACCCGAGTGGTGCCGGACCACCCGCCGAGTGGGGCCGACACCAGGTGCGGCGCGAGGCACAGTAGGCTGGGAGGACCCTGCGATGAGGCCGGGCAAGCCGCGACAGAGCCGTGGAGTGTGTGTGGCGACGGGGTGGGCAGACGGAGAAGCGCCCACAGCAAGGCACCGTGTCCAGTAAACAGACGAACGACGAGTAAAAATACCTTTTTTCCTCAAGGTCTCCTTGAAAACAGCATACAATGACATTTATCTCTTCGGAATTTCGCAGAGTGGCATGTGGGGGTGCCAGCTTTGTCTCATTTCCAAACAGATTTACAGAGCCGCGCCACTGACGAGGTTAGAGAAAACAGCTCAGTCAGAGTGTGCCAACTGTTGGAGCTGTTCTGAAAACATCAGCCAAAATACACAGGTACTTCGGACAGCCCAACTGCCCGTGTAAGCCACACACACATAAACTAAAAGCAGCATAGGTATCGGCCGGTTCCAGAGATTTGCCACATGACACGCAAAATATGGTGATTTTAAAGTGGTTCGAAGCATGTTGCCAGACAATTTACCCTCAAAGAATTTCCCATGATCGTCTACGATCGATCATGATGTCTACATCATCATGATCAGACATGATGACAGACAGACATCATGACAGATGACAGACAGACATCATGATACGATCATGTCTGCAGCAAGGTCTTGCTGTAGACAGCAAATTCAGCCACGATGACCGCAGACGCATTCAACTACATTTTTCCTGCATGGTATTGAAGGAAGTGCTATACTTGTTATTCATTACACGCCACCGTCCAGCGTACTTTGCGCGGGCAGCTGCCGTGTCCTCTTCTCATCACATCATATCCTGATAAGATGCCAGAGCCCTGACACACATATTGAAATTGGATGTTCCAGCATACTATGAATGACAAATGGGGTGTGACTTGCCGTCGACGGAAAGAATTGCTGACCGCAACTTTCTTTTTTTGTAAAATGAAGAAACGAAATCACCATCATCTAACTCGGTGATTAAGTCAGTCATGCCGCTGCTACGCATACTCAAGCCAAAAAGACGCGGGCTATGTTTTCGCTACTTTGGGCGTACGCTTTTGAAAAAGAAAGTTTGCCAAAAAGCTTCGTTGGGGGTACGCTTTCGAAAAAGTTTGCCAAAGGAGTTTACCTTGCGTGCAGCGCCTCGCAGATGCTCGTCGAGCCGCTGTCGGATGCTGCGCTTCGCATCTCAAACTACACCGCAATCAGTGCCAGACGATGGCATGCCATTCAGCACTCTGAGACTGCGAAGGCTGGCCCAACACAGAGTCGTCGGGGTCCATCTCCATCAGTAACAGGCACCGGAAACTGAACGTCCAAACCATGCCGTCGAGGCCATTAATCTGAGCCCTGATTGGTGGAGCCGCCTGGTGACCGACCAGTCAACGGGCGGTGGTCCGGCTCGTGTCCATCTAGAAATAGGGCTCGCTTTCGATCTCCTCTATCTCTCCCTCCCACCTGAAATGGTCTACGGCGAAACATTCGCTTCTTCATCTTCATCCTTATCTCCGGCTGGAAGTGCCTTTGTCCCGTCCGCGCGTCGATACTTTCCGGGAGCAGTGGCGTGGCCAGGATTTTGCCCAGGAGGGGGCCGAATCCGGCGGCAGGGGCTCTTCCAGCCAACGGGTCCCTTTTTGTCGCTGGAGGTGTACAGTTTCTTTTTTATTTGGAATAGCATTTTAGGCTCGGGATCCTATTCTGATGTCCCTTGGGCCGTGTCTTTTTATGCTTTAGGTGCCTGAAAAGGCCAAGAAGTATTAAAGACTCGGGCCCAAAGGAGAGAGGGAGTTGCTGTCACCTCCAGTCAAGGATGTGGTCTCGTGTTCAATTGGGGAAGAAGGGGCGCTCCGGCTCCAATCTTTGGGAAGTGAGCAAAATCCGGGAAGCAGCCCGATCGCTGGCGTATTTTTGTGGGAAAGTTCAGTCATTTTTCCCTGTACGGCCGCCCCCACCCCACTCATTTTGGTGCATTTTGCGAAACCACGCCCCTGCCTCCAGGGGCCAAAGCTCCCCTTGGCTACGGCACTGTCCAGGGCCGTACTATTATCTTGAATAATTGCATACCATTATCATAATCATGATAAAGGCCATGCCTTTATCATAAATATATTACATCCTACATGGAGAAGACCTTCAGGCAACCGAGTACGTAAAACTGAGCAGACTAAGCATGTGGATATTCATAAACCCCTTTCTCAACTTCGTATGAAAATGAGCACAGTTTATCGATATCAATGCAACTAAAAAGGAATTCTAACGAGTCCCGAAATGCGTTTTCTTTAACGATTGACCACTCGTATCTTTATTTACTTGCACGACATTCGTCAAGTTTTCCGCTAGTGTTCAAATGACCGTTCAAACGCGATCCGAACATTCCCAGCGACAGCAACGGCCCGATCCTAGCATGAAGTCGATCCTGACTCTCCAGGCCTCGGGTCCTCTCCAGGCCCACGCCGACGTTCGCCCACACCGCCGCCGCGAAGTCGCATTTCCTCCTTCCGTCCATTGATTGGAAGAGAATACCGCCGCTGCAACTCCCAGCCCACCCGAGCGGCACGCATCGCTCCGAAAAGAAGACAGAAGACGCCATTGCCTGGGGCGGGTTCCGCATGCCGCCGGGGCAGAAAAGTATTGTACTGCACGGCCAGCATTCGTGTCGCCTGTCCGGGAACTGAACCCGATGAATGGGAGCGGTGCGTCAAGCCAGGCATCCCGCAAAGGCCTCTGTTTTCTCGCCTGAATTCGTTACGTAGAAATGAAGAAAAGCGGCGCGTACTCAGCGGCGAGCGCGTGTTCTCTGTGCAGTGAAATCCAGCCGTGGTAGCTGATATATGGAACGGTTCACGCGGTCCAAATAGCGTCTGAAGGCAGTCCAGTGGGGGCAGTCACGAGGGTGTACCGCTATTTCTCGAATTAACATTGCACTCCCCCCGTGCGCTTCGGCTTGAATCGAAGGGAGAATGAAATATTTGTTGTACTTTTCAGTCATAGTTATACCAAACGTATCCTATTTGGTCCATAACGCAAGCTTTTTTCGAAATTCTTCCGAGTAACCCAGAATTTGCACTTAAAATAACCCCACCGGCGGAAGAAATGCCGTTGAATTAAGCGCTCGCCACTATGTAATAGTAGAACTAAGTAGCAACAGTAAGTAGCACTAGTAAGTAGTGCTAGTACCAATAGAACTAATATCTTTTATTCGCTTTACTTTGTCGAATGCAGGTCTCATGTGACGTTCGCAACACACAGACTGATCAAAAGGTGTATGCAAAGAACGCTGTGAGAGCTCGAAACACACCTTTTGCAGAAAAGAACGCGCCCAAAAATGAGACTATGCTTATGCAAATTCAACGAACCGCCATACAATGAGTTTGATTCTTGCCCTAAGGCGAGTAGCAAGGCAGTGACTCTTCTCGAAGCGCACTTCGGCTTTGGGGAACATTGTCTACTTGAATGCTCAGTTCGTCGCAAGTGTGTGTTAAAAACGCAGGTAGCAGCCACATACTACGTGGTCCAGAACCTCACGTGTTGAAACCTTCACCAATGCAGCCTTTACTCAATGACTTATCATGTCCGTTTGCCAATCATAAGCATTCAATTCTATTGTCGCCATTCATACCCATAAATGAAGGAATGCATTATGACTGACACGATTTATATGCACTAATGTCTAGATCGTTAGTATGTTGACCTAATAACAAGTGTGTTTCTATCTTGAGCATACAAATTTTAATCAGGGCCGACGTGTCCCGCTTGCATATCCGCAGAGGCTACGACGAACATCTGACTTGAATGTCTTGTGTGCCACAAGATCGCTAATTCCAGGAACGAAATCTGGGGCTACAATGATTAAAAATAAGCGTACTGTTCTGCCGACACGTTCACCGCATCATAAAGAACAGAAAATTATCAAAATGCAATTACTTATTATATCAGCCGAACCAAAAGCAATAACCAAAGCTCATTTGCTTATTACATTGGCAGCCCCACAAGCAATAAGGAAGGTTCGTTTGCTCATTACATCAGCAACATCAAAGGCAATAATCAAGGTCCATTGGCATATTTTTTCAGCAGCACCAAAACCAATAATCGAATTTAACTTCTTAAATATATAATTAGCACCAAAAACATCCATTTACTCACTATATCTTCCGCGCTGCAGTGCCATCGGCGCCACTTAGGCCCTCCCAGTGGTATTATTGACATAAATGGTCACGAAGTGTCACCAGAGGGTTTTTGGAGATGTGCTCGAAAGTTGGCAGACCCTTTTTAAAATTTGCCTTTTTAGTAAACCGGCGATGCCCCAGGCCATCAAAGTGAGATGGCATTCAATCATGTGGGGAAGGGGGGGGGGGGGGGGCAGCGTGACTTTCGCCTCTACTGGGCACGTCTGTAGGCATCCAGGATCAAGATGCACTCGTACCACACTCATAAGACGTAGCATGGGTCACAATCAACACCCATCCTCGAAAATCAAAACCCGCCACGGCAACAGACTGACACAACAGGAATGTCAACAGGCATTTTACTTGGACTTCGTGAAGGTCAAAGGAGGTCTAAGAGCACTCCGTACACCGATCTTGAGGTGGCTTTGTTTGACCTTAGTTGACCAAGAGGTTATGACGTAAGTATCTCTAAATTTGACAGAAGTGAATGCACACACGGGCTTACATGAATTGTAAATTTGATGTCACCTGCTCTTTTATTTTTCCGATCTCGGCAGGGGGGGGGGGGGGTCAACGTCGCACTCAATCGTCCACCTACACATTCAGACCAATGATGACTGAATTCGGTGAAACTAAGGCGTTAGTCGTAGACAAGCTCATACCACGAAAATAGAAAAGCTTGGCTACATCCCGACTTCATAAAGCTAGCTGCACGCAAGTGATACTGTGTTCATGAGTCTAAGCTGCGCCCCCCCTATCGCCTCTGGTGCCCCTCTTCTCTCACCGCTGGTAAGGCGATCCAGCCGGTGGATGGTGCGCAGGTTCTTCAGTCCGTGCTCCTTGGCCAGGATGAAGACGACCGTGTTGTGTCTGTAGCGGCCGCACGGGTGCACCTGACCGGGGCAGACGAGCGACACCGGTCACACACGGCGGCACGCGCGCCGTCCCTGGTGCAGGGCACGGCCCACCGGCACCGGCGGCACGTGGAACCACGCGCGTCGCCGCTGGTGCCGGGCGCGGCCCACCGGCACCGGTGGCACGTGGAACCACGCGCACCGTCCTTGGTGCAGGGCACGGCCCACCGGCACCGATGACACGTGGAACCACGCGCGTCGCCGCTGGTGCCGGGACATGGGACCACACGCCCCACCGGCGGCACCCGAGGGCCGACACGACACCGGCCAGAGCTTCGGCGAGCGGGCTGCGGCTGCTCGGCACAAGGCACTCACACGCGCTGCAATCGGCTCAGCCAGTTACGACATACACATTCTGCGCAGGTGGGTGCAGGCAGCACGAATGGTGAAGAGTGCGCATCGCGCACTGCAGCGAACCGGGCGCACAGCACAGACGAGCGTCGCATCACACCCCATCACACTTCCAGGTCAACGAGGTCAAGTTGCATGCTCCCTGCATAGCCGGGGGTCGCACACAAGCCTATCGTGAGCACAGACCGAAGCGGTGGACCCCAGCCGCGACCCCGCCATCGGCAGACCTGCGGAGCTCCCGGACGGCTGCGGGCTCGACCACAGGCACTGGGACCGAGCAGGGCGTCGGGTCCCAGCCCGGGGCCGCGGGGCTCAGCCGGCCGTCGCGGGCCGACCGAGACCGACTCGAGCCGCGCCGGGCGACGTCGCAAGATTAACAAGGCGCCCGGGGAAATCCACTCGGGAAGGGGCTGGCTCGCTCCCCGGGCATCCGCGCGCCGAAGTTTTTGTTTGCTGCAGTTGACGAGCACAAAACGCTCCCAGCGCATTCTCGTTATTTGGACCGCTGTAGTGTTTTGTTTACCGGTTTTGATAAGTGGGTGAAGCTTACAGTAATTGCTTTTCCAGCATTGCTTTTTTACTGCCGCTTTGCAACGATGTATTCACAAAATACTGGTCTATTATAACGGACGCATTGTGACAAAAGCACCCAGGTTCTTCAAAGAACGAATATGCCACAAACTTGTAGGCCCCGAGGAGCAGCCATTTCTTATCGCGAATCCCTAGGGCGGGCCTGTAGATCAGCCGAGCCCACTGACTGAAGTCGACCCAGCCCACCGTCTCCGGCCGCGCAGGTCAGCTGCGCTGACTCCCAGACGCCCAAGCTCCCAGACTCCTAGACGCCCGGACTCCCCAACCCCCAAAGCTCCGGACTTCCAGACCCTCAGACTCCAAGACTCCTAGACTCCCAGACGCCCCGATCGTCTGCTCGCCACCCGCGCGCGGCCAGCCATTTCGCCGAAGGCGCCGCCGCCGGCCAAATACGTACTTGGCGATCATTTCACGCCTTGGCCATCACTTGAGTCGGGGTTTATGGTATTTTTCGCGCCGCGCGGCGTCTGCGGCGGGCCGCGGCCGCCCACCGGTATTCCAACCGACCGCCAACGGAATGCGTAAGGCCGCCGGCGGCCGGCGCCGAGCGAGCGGCGGGCTCGTCCACGCGGCGGGACAGTCCTAGGCGGGCGTGAGCTCGCACAGGACAGTCCCAGGCGGGCGTGAGCTCGCACGGGACGGTCCCACGCGGGCGCGAGCTCGCACGGGACAGTCCCAGGCGGACGTGAGCTCCCACAGGACAGTCCCAGGCCGACGGGACCTCGCACACGACAGTCCCAGGCGGGCGCGAGCTCGCACGGAACAGTCCCAGGCGGGAGCGAGCTCGCACAGGACAGTCCCAGGCGGGCATGACTCGCACGGGACAGTCCCCAGGCGGCGTGAGCTCGCACAGGACAGTCCCAGGCGGGCGTGAGCTCGCACGGGACGGTCCCAGGCGGACGGGACAATCCCACAGGACAGTCCCAGGCGGGCGCGAGCTCGCAAGGAGCAGTCCCAGGCGGGCGCGAGCTCGCAAGGAACAGTCCCAGGCGGGTGCGAGCTCACACGGGACAGTCCCAGGCGGGCGCGAGCTCGCACGGGACAGTCCCAGGCGGGCGTGAGCTCGCACGGGACAGTCCCAGGCGTCATTTGTCACTTGGACACGGTATTTAGCTTCGGATGTATGTGTGTCGAAACGTAGTTCTTTACAAAGCAAGCCTCCGCACACATCACGTATTGTAGTTCTGGTTTGGGAAGCACACACAAAAACGCCACGCCTTTGACTTCAGACGTGTTTTGACGAATATACCCGGAGCAGGCCTGGAAGCAGCGAGTTTTTCTTTTCGCTGCCAAATATGCGCGTAGACCATGTTAGTTCAAAAATGAAAGCGTCCGTTTAATTTCATTGATCATTAAAAGGACACTGTTCATATGGCAACAGCGACTTAACACCTCAGACAACGTACAGTTGGGCGGCACTGATAGAACTTCTGTAAATACGCAAGAAACATGTTTAAGGCATACATGCGGCCAGGCTTCAACCAAAGCATCCAGTCCTTTATATTTTGATTTTCTCGCCAATTATCACCGTTACTTTGCAACATGGAACAAATTCCAAAATCTTTCGGCTCCTTGCTGCCTCTTTCCTTCAACTTTACTTCGAAAAGTCGGGACCAAAACCGCGAAACATCCCTCCACAAAACCTACAGCCTCGCACACGATTAAGCTCAGAAGATGGGTCGGCGAAGCAGGACGCACACCCCAAGCTAACCCCGTACACATGCAAGTGTTATTGAAACATTTGCTCAGCCGCAAAGCCCTGCACTTTTTTTTCCAATGCCCCCTTCCATTAACTGATAACCAATTTCAGATTATCACTGACGCGCCTTTCGTGTTCTGAACCAATGTACAGATCGGCTGAATTAGACACGGATGTTAGCAGCAGCCTGTCACACCAGTACAACTGCGCCCAATTTCACGATTGGTTGCATTTGGAACGAGAATCAAATCACGCAAAGTGCGTCCCGGGACCCATGCAGCTAAGCTGAACGCTACCACAGATGACAAACGATGTCACAAGTCCACACACAGCACGCGACAGCACAGCGCCGTGCCCGAAATGTCCAGGAGCTGAAAACGTTCGTTTCCCTCGATATACTGCGGTTAACGACAACGTCCACATGCCACAGCAAGGCTACCCGGCAAACACTTCCGCGCGGTGGGTACAGCAAACGTGATAAGATAACAAGCCCCTATCTACAAGAACCCGACTACGGCCGCGGAATATCCGCAGCACTACTGGCATGCGGTTTACTCGGCAGTACCCACGTCTTACCTTCCGCTGGCGGCCAGGCATCAACGCACACGACAGCGAGCAAGCCCACGCCGAGGAGCCAGACCTCCCTCACCGTGTCGCGCCGAGGCGGCGGCGGCCGTGGTGGGAGACGGGCCGAGCCCCTCCCTCTCTCCTCTCCATCCATTACCTGCCCATATTCCGCGGCAAAGGACCGACGAGGGCGCTGACGAGCCCGCCCACGGCTCCCTGGGGTGCTGTGCGGCCGCGGAAGGACGCTGTGCTCGGGGCGGCGCCACAAACCAACGGCGAGCGTACCTACAGCTCGTGTCGAGACGGACCCGCGCAGAGCTCGACTCACCGGGTGTCGAGACAAACTCACGAAGAGCTCGACTCACCGGGCGTCGAGACGAACTCACGAAGAGCTCGACTCGCCGGGTGTCGAGACGAATCACGAAGAGATCGGCTAGCCGGGTGTCGAGACGAACTCACGAAGAGCTCGACTCGCCGGGTGTCGAGACGAATCACGAAGAGATCGGCTAGCCGGGTGTCGAGACAAACTCACGAAGAGCTCGACTCACCACGTTTCGAGACAGACCCGCACAGAGCTCGACCCATCGGGTGTCGAGACGAGCTCACGAAGAGCTCGACTCACCGGGTGTCCAGACGAACTCCCGAAGAGCTCGACTCAGCGGGTGTCGAGACGAACTCCCGAAGAGCTCGACTCACCGGGTGCCGAGACGAATCACGAAGAGATCGGCTAGCCAGGTGTCGAGACAAACTCACGAAGAGATCGACTCACCGGGTGTCGAGACAAACTCACGAAGAGCTCGACTCACCGGGTGTCGAGACGAACTCAAGAACTCCGCTCAGCGAGTGCTGAGACAGACCCGTGACGAGTATGGTCCACTTCCTGGTCGACTCACAACCGCGGCGCTCACGCGCGCACGAACTGTGACACTCGACAGCACCCTCAAATGCACGCACGTACCCATGCGCGCGCGCAAGTTACGGCGCGCGTCTCCTTTCAGAGAGGCGTGCAAAGCGGCCAGCGCTGAACACGATCGGCCGACTGAGACCCGTCTTCTGGGACCGACCCGCTGCGACTGACTGGGACCCGCCTTCTGGGACCGACCCGCTGGGATCGACTGGGACCCGCCTTCTGTGACCGACCCGCTGGGATCGACTGGGACCCGCCTTCTGGGACCGACCCGCTGAGATCGACTGGGAACCGCCTTCTGGGACCGACCCGCTGGGATGGGCTGGGACCCGCCTTCTGGGACCGACCCCCTGGGATCGACTGGGACCCGCCTTCTGGGAACGACCCGCTGGGATCGACTGGAACCGCCTTCGAGGTGAACCTCTTCATCCGTAAGCAACTCTTGGTTCGACAGATTACGCCTGCGATGCCTGACGTCTTTCAGGTGCGTTTGGAAATCTGTCGTTGGCATGCTTGAACAAACTGAACTAGGGGTGCGAAGAATGCGGCCAAATTCTAGCTGGCCAACGCGCCCTTTGATCGCTGATGACACCCTGAATCAGGAGTACAACTCAACCTGAATACCACACATTATTCGTTCGAGCCAAAAACCATCATTGTATTAATTATTATTTACGTCGAGCCAATGTATCGGCTGATATTCAACAGCGCTCGACATCTCACGTTCCTGAATGATTTCCCTGCTATTTTACGACGCCTGCCTAGCGCTAATGAAAAGAGGACTGGAGAGGCTACTTCGGCTCTTTGTGCGATCGTATCACGTCCCCCGAGACTGACCAAAGTCGGTGTGCTTGTTACACAGTCAGGGACAGGCACCGACACTGATTGGATTGCATCCAGCCTCTCCCCACAAAGGTCAAGCATGCCCTCCGACCCGAGACCGCCCCAAAATAGCCCGGAGCACATTGCGGAGCCAGGCGCGTCACTTGCCAATACCGCACACAACACAATGCATATCACGCGCCGGCCCGGAAGCGAGCGCCCTGTCGGGCGCGCGCGGCTGGCGCGGCGGCCACCGGGCCGGCCGGCTGCCAGCCGCGGTAGAGCGACCGGCAACAGGTGACCCTGCGGACAGCGCCGCGTCGACGTGCGGCAGCGGCGGGCCCTACCGCTCTCGTGCTCGGCCTCTGTGGGTGTCTGTTACCGCGCTCCTGTGCGGGCGAACACTCCCGCCTGCGAACATCGGATCTCGCGCGCGGGCGGGCGAGCCCAGCATGCCGAGCCGCACGCCTTCGGGCGGCCACTCGCGCCTAGAGGCGGCCGGGCATCGTCGCCGTCGTCGTCGTCGTCGTCGTCGTCGTCGTCGTCGCCGTCGTCGTCGTCGTCGTCGTCGTCGTCGTCGTCGTCGTCGGCGGCGGCGGCGGCGGCCCGCTGCCAGCAGACGCTTCCCACCAGCTGAGCGGCGGCCGGCGCGCGCCGCCGGCGGCCGGGTTCGGCAGCGGAGCGAGAGCGCGGCGCACTGCCAGCACCGGCGGGGCCCGGGCCGGCGGCGGCGACAGGCGGGCGTGGGCGGAGCGCGCCGCCGCCGTCCGACCCAGCTCCTGCGACGCCGGAATGCGGCCGACCGCCAACGCAAACAACAGGCGGGACGACGTTAACGGAGCGCCTGTTCTCCCCCGCCGACGGGGTCAGGACTGTGCTCTGCTGGACACGGCCGGTGGATGGCGCTCCCCCCCCCCCCCGCGGTCTGAGGCCGACCAACGGCGTCAGCCGCTGCTCTGCTGGACAGGCGGCGATTGAGGCGGCGGGCGGTCCCTGGGTCCGTCTCCCCACCAACAAATAGGCTCAGGACCTAGCGAGAAGGAGTCTATGACTGCAACCGACCTTTCTCCACCGTGCAGGAAAGCGTTCCTTCCGAATAAGGTTCGCTAAATGAACAAACCTCCATGATGCGACCCTAGTGCGACTCCCCGTCGCCACGGGCTGGGGCGGGGGTGGGGGCAGGCTTCACATGAATGAAGCGCACGCGATCATTGTCCGTGTGACCATGTCCCGCAAGGTCCATATGCTCGGCCACTTTCCACGAGAGAGCGGCCGAACCGACAAGCAACACTGGGACCTCAGGTGTCGCGAGGCAAGACTGACGATGTCTGTACAGCTGGGGTGGGCCTCTGAGCTCTGCGCCACCCCTGCCCCACGCAAACGGCTAGCCCGGATCGTTCAGCAGCCAGACAAGCGAGAGCAGGGCAAATCGACGGCCATCATTTATCTTGCCGGGCTGTTCCGGAAACCAGTTCAATCAGATGAGGACCGCATTCTCACACATGCATCAAACACTGGAAGATAAATGGACTGCGATACACCAATGGTTCACACAGGAGCAAGGTGGTGCGGGCCTGACTCGAAACGGCGGCAGGGCGGCACGCCAGACGAGAGCGCAGCTTAGCAGAAAAGCGGACAGCTAAAATCCGATGCAATATAGCATGTCGTGGAGAAAGTTTATCGCAAAACAAGTCCACGATGGGACAAACAATCTGTATTTATGAGAGAACAAATTCGTTGCGATGTGAGTGGGACCGGGAAGCCGCCGACAAAACTCTCCGAAACTGCGGGTTGAAGCAGCGCGCCAGGACGGTGATATGAACCCTACCGTGCATCACACGACGGAGAATTCCTGTGCTTGAACTTGAACAGACTTGAACCGACTACAATCCGGACTCCGCACTGGTACTCGGCCTCGTCCGATTGTCTAAGCATGGGGAGGGCAATCACACTCAGTATTTGTTGAGCCTGTTGACTGGAGTAACTCAAGAGCCGGCTTCTCAGAAAGAAGCAAGACTTGCCCGGTGGTCGTGAGCGGGCGCTGGTCGCACCGACGTCCTCGAAGGGTCCCGTTGGCGGCTCCTCATGGCTGCACGCCTCTCCGTGGTCGCCGTGTACGTCCCCTGCCCAGCTTACCGACCGGTCTGTCGAAGAGGCGTCTCCTCGCATCGCGGCCGAGACGGACTGGGCGGGCGGGGCCTCACCGCCGGCCCGAGACTCGGGCCGGAGCCCGTGCCGCCGGCGTCGCGGCCGATCCGGCCGGGATCAGCCTCCTCCGTCCCAGACGAGGGATGACGTGCGGCGGGCGGGCGGGGCGGGGCGGGGCGGGCCGGGCGGAAGCGGTGCGTTTCCGCTGGTGTCGGCGGTTCCGGCCGCCCGGGTCCGGTTCGGCGACAGGTCGGCGACGTCAGGCGTCCCGCTGTCGGGACCGCGCCGCTGCTACAGGGACGGCGGCGACTTCGCGCTGTCCGGCTCGGCGGCCATCGCCCGGCATCCAGCGGCTGGTGTTCTGCGCGCCGTTTAGTGCGGGCGGGGGGTGGGGCGGGTTACTGTTAGAGGTGAGGTACAGTGCTGGTCTCGGGCCTGTACTCACCGGCAGTGAACAGGGTTTATCCAGGACCACCAGCTCATCGGACAAGTGGATTATCTCCATAGGCCGGGAGAGCACGGGAGTCTCGTGTCTGCAACAACATCAGAGGGCTACTCGTCACGTGGCCCGGGTCACGTGACGCCCGCCAGGTGGCGCGCGGGTCGGGGAGGGCGGTCACACCAGCCCGGCGTCACACGTGCGCACTCTGAAGAAACAGAAAAGAGATGTCGACAGAAACAGACCGGACCTCCAGCGGCGGGAGTGGAGAGGGTTCTGCGGACGCGGCTCCACGGAGCCCCCATGCAGCGGTGGTGGCCGCGTCGCCACGAAGCCCCGTGCAAGCCCCATGCGCATGCGCACTTACCGTGGACCGTCGTGAACCGGCCGGCCCGCCCGAACGGCGGGGCGCGGCGCCCAGCGCCGCGCGCCGCCGCCTCCTCACCGCGCCCGCCGCGCATCTGAAAACGGATGGCGGTGCTCTCCGCCAGGCGGCCGGCCCCGGCCACTCACCGGTATCGACGAGGGCTTGTCGACTACAACGATATCCTCGTCGATATGGACCAGGGGCACGGGGTCGGCCGTGATGGGCACCTCGTGTCTGCAACATGTGCAGCGGAGTCGTGAGTCCGCGGTCAGGGGCTGAGGCGCTGCCGGGCGCCACGCGCCGGCCGGGACAGGCAGGACGGGCCGACAGAGTACGGAGCACGCCGGGTTAGACGACCGGCGCCGCGCGGACGCGGCGCGCTACCGTAAAAATCGGCTACCGGGCCGGGGAAAAGGTCAGTGGCGACTGGACACGGGCGACGGGCGACGGCAGGGCGGTGTCGCATGCGCAGACGGACACGCTGCGACGGCAGACTCGACCCCCAGCACGCTGGACTGTGCCGGCACGGCGCGACACTATTCGAGACCCGAGTGAGGGTTCGTCAAAGGTCACGCCACTCGGCGGGGTGTCATTACCATAGACACACAACTCGAACCGTTGCGGTGTACAGATTGCGCGGCTCTACTGTTTGAACACGGGACGCCGTCTGCGGCGCCACAGAGCACGCTAACGAAAGTGCCGGCCCACGACAGCAGAAGTCGAGGCAGCTCTACGACGTAACAGCTCGCGTCAGCACAACTTAGTCCGGTCCGCTCCGGGACCCACCTGGGACTTTCCGCCGCTCCGGGGAGGGGGGGGGGGGGGGGGGGGGGGGGCAGCTGGCCACGTCCGACATGCGACCGGCGCACTGGATGGCTGATAGCGGCAAATTATTGGCGCCCGAACGAAATGGCCCTGATGTATGGTGATGGCGTATCGCGTTCGCCATTGGCTCGGCGCTGCCGGCACGACGAACGTCACCGCCGGCCCGGTGCAGGTCACTGCTTTGCTCTCGATTCACGCCTCTCCCCTCGCCCTCCCTCCTGGATGCATCGGCAAGGTGTGGGAATGACGGGACGACCGGTCGCCGCGGCAACGCGTAGCGGCAGCTCTTTTTAGTGTTGAGCCATAAATTGTTCAGGTTGGCATGTGAGCTTATTGGCCCAGTATCAACTATCGTTATCCTGGCTTATCAAATCGAGGCTTAAGCTCAACACCAAACATCGAGGTTTGGAAATCTCTTAGATCAGAACGCAATATTTTTGTTAACGTGCTAGCACTTTCAGGAGCATATTAGCAAAGGTATTAGAAACCTCGGGAAAAATGGGTAAAATTGACACAAGACGGAAATGTCTTAAACTCCTTTCTTGTCGGCATTATGAAGTGAGCTAACGACCACCAATATACTAGGAGTTACTGCAGTACGGTTTTCGGACTCCATTGCACCGCCACAGTAATGCGATACAGTCCCGGAAAGTTGTTAAAGTTTCAGACGGAGAGATTGACCAGACTTCCGAGTTACTTGTCCCACAAGCCAACGCAAGCCAGATGCAGTTTCAGGGAGTGGTCCACGTTTGTATGGGGGTTTGAACTAACAAAGCCGTCTTGAAGATCATTCGGTTCAGTTTACAGCCCTGCCGTTCCTAAAGCCTAAACCCCTCTAGTTTTTCATCTACACGCCCGCGATGACATGCAGGCTATTTCGGGGAGACTACTTCAAGGTCGCCCTCACGTCCATGACGCCAGTATAACGTCATTCAAGTCCCGTCATTCCTTTAGTCATGCGGCGATAAAGCCCCCCAAAATAGAATTGTCGAGTCGTTCATTTACGGCGTTCGTAAGCACGATATCTAGATATAACCGGTTGTCAACTGGCTCTCAATCAATGTTGTGCAAGGCACGATGCCGTACCCAAGCAAAAACATACTAATCAGTACATTTATTTTACAGAAAAATATGTGGTCTAGAGCAGTCTTGTCCACTTAAAAGTATACCAACAGTTATAAGCGAGCATGTTCAATCATATCTGGTGCTTGGTTCAATATCTTCAAATGTGGAGCATTTTCTTTAGGATTGAGTAACAAACACCAGCAGGCAAATAGCCATAGCCTGTCTCCATTGACCCATTTGGCTACCAGGCTGATCTGATCTAAAGGAAACAAAGTGCATGTGGGTCCACTTAATAGCTGGCGACTCGCGGCAGTTGAGATAGTAATAGTAGAAGGAGGCTTGATAACTTAAAGAAGGCTTAGTAACCTAAAAGTTAATTTAAATAAATAAACACATCTTTACGTAACTTATTATTCAAACGGCAGGACCAAACGCCGTCCGAGGCTGTTAACGATACATGTAAGTAAAATGAAAGCCCGGAATAAATGGCTTCACCTGAAGTTTACGAAAAAACGTTTGGACAACTGATTGAAAGCTCGCTCTCCAGGACATCTGAAAGCCACGCCCAGTCTTTGGAACACCTGAACCCTCCCCTGGATTGCCGTGGCTGAAAGAACATGTAAGCGTCTTTTACCAGAGCTGGGGAAAGAACCAAAACATATAACCACCACTGAATAAACTGCACGAATATCTGGCCGTCCCTTGGCAAGGCATCGGCTCAAGGCAGCCGACGCCAAACATCCCAAGCATCAGCCAAAGGCGGATTTGATTCACGCAAACCAGTGGCCGGATCTATTTCCGGCGGGCCGGGCCGGTTTTACCACGCCACAAACCGATGTTCGGTATAGTTTGTCCCAATTTCCGGCTGTTCGGTCCACCACGCGGCGCCGCTCGCGCCACGAACGCCACGGAACCGCAGCTAACACCGACCCGCCCCGCCATTAATCCCACAAGAGGCCCGGCGCGCAATAAATCGCCGCCGGCCGTCCGCAGTAAAAACGCCCGGAGCACACGGGCGACGCCGCCGTCCACGCGGCGCGACCGCCACCCAACGGGGAAGGGGACCGGGCTGGGCCGGATGGGGAAGGGGAGGGGGTCCAGCCTCCCAGTCACGTCAGGCGGGCGCCGGTGCGGAACAGAGCTAGGCCAGCCCGGCAGCGGGCTGGTGTGACATAGCCTAAGGCTCAGCTTTGGTGTTCCGCGCAACTGACGCTGGCGGTCGTGTGATGTGCGCGATGAGAGGTTTGTCGCGGCGACGACAATGCAGAGATCAGGACCAGGAGCGGTGGACAGGAGATAATTTAGATTCAAGCTATGATGAATGAGCGTATGATAGGCGGTTGAAAGGCGGATTAGGAAATAAAACAGCGAGTTAAATTCATTTGTGTGGTAAGAGGATAAAAAGAAGAGGAGAAACAAGACAAAGGCAGTGAATTTTCGTGAATGAAAACTTTGCTGTGAAGATAAAAGAAAACCGTCGGGTTGGAAGGATGGATACAGATGCAGAACGCACCGGTCACTCTGCGCCTCCAACAGCACTAAAACAAAGAAGGATGCCCGAACAGCGGAAAGGGGCATGTTCGCCAAAGCAGTAACTGCGCAGGTCGGCACGACCGACGGCTCGGGGCGAGCCGCTAACAGTCACCCTCTGAATCGGCGCTCAATCGAATCTCCGATAGCGACGCGGTCGTGCCGGTCGGCGGAACGACGCGTGAGGACGGACGGACAGGCGGCGGCCGGCTGCCACTCACCTGTGCACCACATTGGCCAGCAGGTCGTTGTGCCGCAGCCGGTGGTCCACGTCCACCTTCTGGTAGTTGACGGTCAGCGTGCCCGCTCGGATGCAGCGCTCCTGGAACGGCCGGCAACGACATCACACTGCCGTCTAATACACAGCGCCCCTGGAACGGCAGGCAACGATATCCCACTGCCGTCTCATACGCAGCGCTCCTGGAACGGCAGGCAACGACATCACACTGCCGTCCAATACGCAGCGCTCCTGGAACGGCAGGCAACGACATCACACTGCCGTCTCATACACAGCGCTCCTGGCACGGTCAGGAGACGGCAAAATCCTGCCTCCCTTGCGCCGACCGCTTGCATGCTACGCTCCTAAGAAGGCCGGACAGAGGTATTCGGCTCAAGTCAGCAACGCACGTCAGTCATCAGTCATCAGTCATCAGTCCAAGAATTAATGGTCGTTCAGTTAGAACCCCGTTCGTTTCATCATCAATTGTATCGCCAGCATTAGCGTGCAGCCGCAGCAGTGAGCTATTCATTCTTAGACCGCGTTTCAACTTCAACATCATTGATGGCGTAGTAAATTTCATGCCGCTAATCAACCACTGGCTCGCGCCCAAGTGCATCAGAGTGCGGTATGTCGCTTGGCACTGGCTGCGAGGTCGAATGGATCCCTCCCAACGCTCGTTACGCTTCTCATTTGAAACGTAAGCACCGTGTCACGGCGATCAGGTAGACCGGCTTCAGCACCCATGGTTCGGCGCGGTGATCCCAGGTTGAACCCATGCTTTGGCTTGGTGAACCGCGACTCGGACACGCGGGCGCGTTGCGCTCTTTGTGTACTTTTGCCGTTCGTAAACATACGTGACAGGCGAAACCCCGGGAAACCATTCCGTTCTCAATGACGCCTTTCAGAAGGATTCCGCTTTTATCACCTCAGCGGGCCAGTTCCCTACGGGGAAAGTAATCAAAAATGGAAACTACCAGTGGGTAAAAGCGTAGCGCTCCAGGCCATCTACTCTGAAAGAAAATCCGCATCGTTGGCTGCACAGCGAATTTTCTATTGATGGGCTTAATTTAAGCTCCGTGGAGACTAGAAAAGCGTTCATTTCCTCCAGAATATCGACGCTAAATATACCCTGGAGGTTCAAAATGCACGGCGTTTCGCCGCAGTGTTCCCCACTGAATGCTCGAAAGGTAGGTAATGACATGCAAAAACAAAATCATTTGCTGTGAGAATAAACATTTCCAGCTGAAATATATCCACATATGACACTTAAGACCACAGCGATTAAACCACTGCCAGCATGCTTATCAAAATTCCACCTGGATGGATTCAGTGTGCGACAAGAAGCAACGTTCAGAAACATCTACGACATACACAGGGGTGTCTCCAAATCCAAACAAAAACCGCAAAATATCGACGCAAAAGTGCACAACTCTTCGTCACACTTACTCGTTCACAGTCATTTGATGTCCTTGGCGTCCAAAAGGGCCGTGGCCCGTTTATCATACCACGAACCAGACCACCACACACACACCGCGGCGCATCAGCAGGTGCCTGGTACTGCGGTACAGTCCACCGTCCCAGCGGCTGCCCGAGCGGTACTGCGGTACAATCCACCGTTAGCGGTGCCCCGGTACTGCGGTACAATCCAGTCCCGGCGGCTGCCCGAGCGGTACTGCGTACAGTCCACCGTCCGGCGCTGCCCGGCGGTACTGCGGTACAATCCACCGTCCCGGCGACTGCCCAAGCGGTACTGCGTACAATCCACCGTCCCGGCGGCTGCCCGAGCGGTACTGCGGTACAGTCCACCGTCCCGGCGGCTGCCCAACCGGTACTGCGGTACAACCTGCCGTCCCGGCGCCTACCCGAGCAGTACCGCGATACAATCCACCGTCCCGGCGGCTGCCCAACCGGTACTGCGGTACAACCTGCCGTCCCGGCGCCTACCCGAGCAGAACCGCGATACAATCCAGCGTCCCGGCGGCTGCCTGAGTGGTACTAAGGTACAGTCTATCGTCCCGGCGACTGTCCTGGCGGCACTGCGGCGCAGCATACCGCGCTGGGCGCTCGCTTCGCGAGCATCCGGCGGCCCGGGAGAGCAGTGTCGCGCCCCCAGTGACCTCTACGTGGGGCGTCCGGCTTACAGGCCGGTCGCCGGCGGGAGAATTCAATTCCTGCCGCCCGGCCGCCGTATGATTCCAATCGCAGAATTGGCGTCAGATCAGTTGGCGGTGGGACGGATTCGACGAACGGCGACACGGCCGTGCCAGGCCGCCGGCGGCGGTGCGTCCGGCCAGAGCCCACGCCGGCCGCCGAGCGGCGTCCGCAGGCGGGCCGCGCCGCGCCACGAGCGGCCGGGCCGACGACACGGCCGCCGGCGCCAACTGAAGCGGCCGTCGTGGCCAGCAGCCTGACAGGCTCGGCTGGTGTTGGCGTCCGCGATGTAGCAGCAGCAGTGTGTCATCAGTGTATACGGCGAAGTCCCCGTGGGGCTGGGATAGAGAGCCCCAAATCGTGCTACTGCACGCCTTAAAAATAGCAATATGATATCAGCAGGAAGGGCTTTGAGCGCCTAGTCTTTCGGTATTGTAATTTCACGGTTCTTATACCGACAGTTACCGACATTCAATATCTCTCTCGAGGTAATGGTTGAACGACGTTATCAAGCAAACACTGTCGATTTGTTCATGCTGGGGTCGTTTAGCCAGTACCTGCTGGCACGTAACAAGTCGATAGCGGCCAGCAATACAAGCTCGGACTCATAATACCAACATGGCAACCAAGTTACCACACAATAGATTAATTTCTTTTTCACTTTCTGTCGACACATCAGTATGGCAGGGGAAACCCACCGGCAACAACATCTAAATGCACGCATCTACCAAAGGCAAACGGTGCACAACGGACGCCAAGCTGCTGCATGCGGTGTGGTGGCCGGCACCGTGCATTGTGCACACCTGGCGCCCGCAACTTTGGATGACTCACAATATACTGGCTAGTACGGCGCAGTTTAGATCTCTACTGACCAAATATCCCACATTTCCGCTCACGCCTGTGTGAATCAACAGATTAAGACCTCATCTACACCCCATCCCCCATTTCCACCTGACATCCGAGACCGCATATCTTCCAGGGAGTTGATCGGGTCTCTGTGCGCCTACTAAACAGGGTCCCAGCCAGACATAGCAGATAGTAAGACAGGCGCAAAACGAAAGTAAACTAACCAGTGTGGTGCGTCTGATGACGAGTTTAGCGTGTGTAGTCACCACTGGAATGAAAGTAAGCTTATTATCCAGCTTGCTTCGCTACGAAATGAGCGAGTGTGCGATGAGGGCACGGTGATCAAAACATGCCTCCGCAAAATAAATCTTCAAGGCTAAGTGAAGGTTATGTGCATAAACACGGCACCTGGCCAGCGCAACGACCCCGTATGCCCGCTTGACCCAGATTGTGAGTCTTACATAATGCCTATTTGCTGGACCACCAGCCCACTGGAGTCCCCTAATTATTGCTGGACGCCAGCGCTCTTGCCCACATTAGCCCAAGCGATGCGCATGCGTGCACTCGACCTTGACCGTCCGTAGCTGCACGCATGGTGCCCGACACACCTGTGCTCGCCACCCATTCACTTCCGTTTATTCAACGCCGCCTATCCTTTCCACGATGCACTGCACGGACTGGCGCGACAACGAGAGCTGCGGCGCATGCGTGGTATGCGCACACTAGTCCACCTGTTGCGGGGGTCCGTGCTTTTCCAAGTTCCCTTATACGGCGCGCACTGGCCGCTTATCCAACACCAGGAGAGGACAGGGGGCGGGGGAAGGGCAGCGCGACCGATGGCGCCCAGCTCTCCGCTAAACAAACGCGCCTTAATCGCGCCGCCGCGGTGGACTGTTGGCGTGCAGTTCATAAACGCGGGCGGTCGGTGTGCTCAGCGGACAGGGCGACGCCGCCCCGTCACCTCATATTGCAGTTTACCGGCCGGCGCGCTGGAGAGGCCCGGTCAATATTGTCTGCGCGCTGATAGGTCCAATTGAGTGGCCGCGGCCGCACGGCGCCAATATGTGGCCGGTATGTCACAGCCGGCCGGCGCCGGGTGCGGCCGAACCGCCCGGGGCGCGCCTGGGTCACGCGAGAGGCATGGGTCAACCGACCCGACGCGGCAGCCGCGGGGTCCGCTCGTGCCGGGGCTTCACAGGCGAGACCCCGAACCCTGGTCGTAAATTAACGCAAATCAGGCGCTGGTCGACGCTGTGCACCCTATCATGGAAAAATAGCTTTGCTGGTGCCAGGGCCTATCCTCCACTGTTTCACATTGTGCAGTGTCGCAATCTTCGCCTCTGCCACCGATACCCATGCTTATGTCGCCATGCACTTCAAGAATCTATAAGTTTGCCGCCTCGCACGTCTTCATTCCGCTCGTCCTGTAGTGAGCTTGGGGCCCTCAGAGGAGGCATCTGGTTAGGGACACGCGGGTGGCTGCTTGGGCAGAAACCCACCTCAGATTTTAATCTAGCTTCAGGATTTATTTTGCACTTGGAAAAAGATGCGTTCAACTCATTTCTGACGTGGAGATGGTTGTCAGACGGCATAAATGCAAGCTGAACCTCGCCAACTAACGTGGTTTCGCCAACTTCGGTGGTCGGTTTATGAAGCTGCCAACTTTGGGCAGTTTCATAACTGAAGAGCTACAACTTCCACCGTGTTTAGTTTGTATGGCATGGCCGTCCGAGCCACGAACTAGTTTCTTAACTAGTTACTTTCGCCGACTCTGTCTATACACGAGAAGCCTGTAATCGTGCTGAAAATCTGAGAGAGACAAGTTGTACCTGTCGACGTCTCATCTTCTTTAATCATGCAATAAAAAAAAACAATATGTTGCTAGTTTTGCTTTATGAAACTCACCACTGCTGGCTGGCATGAACTGCCGGCACTGCGTCTCGCCAGTTAAGGCAAACGGCCTTGAAACACACCAGGCACCGCTTGCCATTCGCCATTCGGGAGGGAAGCACATCTATCTGTCCCCCTTGAAATTTCGGGACGCCCCACCATACCGACAAGAAGCCCCGGATGACCGGGAGAAAATGCTACATCAAGTCAAAAGG